TCACCTTAAGGACCCTAAACTTTGGGAATTATGGTATACAATGTTACATTACGTCATATTCCTTGATTATGGGTAATGCAGGATTTGCATCATCAACCGCAGAGCTCGATTTCAGAGCCCCTCCAACCCGTCCTCCCCTCGTCGGCCACCCAGGTCCCGCAATGGGAGCACTGGACTTTGCTGGGCAGCACGCGCTCCTCCGGGCGTCACTTGTGGTTGTCATAAGGGCTTAGTGCACAACTCGGAGTTCATAAACCCTTGCCTTAAGGGCCTGAAAGATTAGGATCCTCATGAAGCCTTCTCCCCAATCTCCAAGCCTTAGACCCTGGCATCCCTAAACCCTAAACGCCCGTCCCCCGACAGCGCCAAACCCGAAAGAAAACAGCGAAGATCCAGACGCAGGTACTTTGGCTGCCAGCATCACAAGGACACCCTGAACCCGCAAACCGGGCGGTCTTGCAGAAAACTGCCTACCGGGCGTCTTGAATTTACCGAGGAACAGCTCCATTGATACAGACCGTGTCCGTCTGTACGTGGTACCTCTGCATGGTAACGGGCCGGCCCCCGAAGAAACTCATCGTGCTTAAGGCCTGTCTCTGAAAACAGGATTGCACAGAGGCTCTGAAGGTGTAGGACCAGTATCGCCCAAAATTTGTAAGGGCTGCAGTGAGGCAGGGCACAAGCACAGCGGTTGATAAGCAGATGCTACAGGATGTTCACGAACTGGACATTTCGCGAGTGAAACCCAAACCATGAATCAGAGCGCTGCCAAAGCAAAAAAGCCAAGAGTGTCACAGTGCATTGAGACCCCCATGATGTACGCCATGACGTGAGCCACAACAACCCGTTTCTGCCTTCAAGCCCAACTAAGAATGAAATGTAAAACAGGAGGGCATAGAATAAACCATACCAGTAGCAACAACACAGACGCGCAGCAACAGTACCAATACCGATGACAACCACTAATAAAACAGTAACCAATATCAGCAAGAATAGGTGTAGGCAACCCAAAAACCCTGAACCCTACACCCTCAACCCTAAACCCTAGCATGAAACGCACGTCTGCAAAAAAAACGAATGCCACAAGGGGCACCAGCGAAGATGCTGCAGACTGACAGCCGAAAAGCGTACCTCTGCCGTTTAGGGTTTTTGGTTTAGGGGTTTTGGGTTTGGGGGTTTTAGGTTTAGGGGTTTTGGGTTT